CCTTTTTGCTTTCCGCCTGCTGCGGCTGCTGCTGCTGCTGCTGCTGTTGCTGTTGCTGCTGCTGGTGATGCTGGGAGAAGGAACCCAGAAAGAAATCAGGAACCCAGGAGGACCCAAAATAGAACCATTTTACTCATCCCAATCACTGCAGCTACTTACCTGACTGGGTGTGGCCACCAAGGGCTGTGGAGAGGATTTGTGGGGCGAAGTAGAGCCCCGAGCAAGCATGGCCCCAACCCCTGTCCCTGATCCTGCCCGGCGCTGCAGGTCTGGATCCGGGACAGGCCTCTTGCGCCCTCCACCCTCGTCCCGTGGCTCACTGCTGTCTCTCTCAGTGCCATCCCGCTCCCGTGACTTCTTGTGCCGATAGCGAATCTCCAGCTTGGGGTCTTTTTCTGTGGGGCAAAAGAGAGGGCCAGGGTGGGCTGGCACTGGGAGATTTGAATGGTCCCTGAACTTCTTTCTTCTCTTCTGCCCTTACTATGTCCTATCCATCCACTCTGCTCTCCTCCAGAGCAAAGCTGCCCCTTCCTGTGGAATCCACTCTTTGCAACCACAATGGAGCCCCCATTCCAGCTCACTACACACCATCAATCACTCTGCACAGACAAGCAACACTACTCTCCATGACCCAGTCACCCATTATGATTCTTCCTCCTCTCCCCTACAAGTCCCACTTGCCTTCTCTATTTCACCCCCCTTACCTCGGCACTCCCGGCAATACCACTCCCGGATGGCTTTGGCCATCTTCTCAGTGATCCGGATGCAGTCCCCATGGAACCACTCATTGCAGTTGTCACACCCGCTGCAGAGGATGGGGCCGGTGGTGATGTGAGGGGCCTGCCCCACTGTCTTCACCTACCTTGCCAGGTGTCAGCCCCCCCTGCCTCTCTTGCCCTGGCTCACATCATGAAGCAGTTGATGTCTGGCTTGCGGCAGATGCAGTAGATAGGTGCATTCTCCCCATTCTCCGACTTACTGTCCTCCCCAGCATCTGGAGGCTCTGCATCGGAACCATCTCCCTCCTGTGGGAAACCGCAAACGGCTCCTTATACATCTTCCCCATCACAGCTCCATCAAGGCTCAGCATAGACCCCCCCACATACACACACACACACTCTGCCCAGACTTCCCACCATGGTGCCCACTGACCTCCCTCACTGAGCTCCTAATACCCCATTATTCTGCTTGTAAGTCCACATCACTCTGCCTCAGGCGTCCCCAGCCCTCCCACTGGCACTCTATCACTGATCTGCACTCCCACAAGGGCTCATGCCAACACCCCACCACCCGCCACACAGCACCCCCAGCGTGGCTCCTCACAGACCCGCCCCCCACTAGGGCTTCTTACAACCACCACATGATGTATTCCAGACTTCTCTTCGCGGTTCCTACAGGTGCCCCGCTATTTACCCCGCGAACCCCTGGACAGACACAGCCCGGCTCACAACAGACTGACCGGCATGGATCGTCGCAAACCCCCATCCCGGTTTCCCACGAAACTCCGCCCGGAGTCCCACTAAACTTCTACTGCAGACCCTCACAATGGCTCATCACAGAACTCCGGGATGGCTCACCAGACAGACCCCTTCATTCTGCCCACGAGCCCGGGTACGGGTCGCCACAGATCCCCCCCCCC